TGCGTCAGGGCTGCCGGGGGCTGGGCCTGCCCGGGGGGCTGGGGAAAGGTTGTGATGGGACACACAGTGGGGCTGTCTGGGTGCCTTGTCCCACAGAGCCCGGAGCACACGCTGGCCCCAGACAGTCTGCCAGCTTGGTAGCCACAGCTCCGGCATTTTCCTCCCTGCACCAGGGCAGGAATAAAAGTAGGAATAAGGGATCTTCCAGAAAAGGGTTTATTTTCCAGAAAATCGCATCTAGACTGGCGCTTTTCTCCAGCAAAACCCTGAGCCGGAAAAAAGTGGCAGCCATGTAAATGCAAATTCCGCGGGGGATATTTAAATCCCCTGCGGAATTTGCAATTCCGAAGTGTCCCATTAGCATCCCTTTTCTGGAAAGGGGTGCCAATGTAGACACAGCCGTACAGTTTAAATCCAGGTATCAGAACAGTTTTTCTTGCATAAGGGTCGGAGTTTTGATGGAGATAGGACAATAGTTTGAAGAGGACACTGAATTTGTTTATGGATAAACAGAGGCGAGACGATAGAGTCTGATCACCCTTAGTTATGGGTGATGTTCCTTGAACAAGCTCACAATGCAACTAGGTAGTTACAGTATTTTGGACGTCAATAGGCTCAAGTTACTAGAACTGGTCGGATAATGACTAATTTGGGTGTGAGCTGGCCTGGGTTCATTAGCATCTGGAGCAGAGATTTCCCATCAGGCAGTGCTTCTCTGCTTTCAGTATCCCATAGTTCAGTGTGGTTCCTGCGTTGGAAAAACTGGTCTCCATTCTGTATGCTAATGGAGATGTATCCCTGTGCTATCTTCCATGCAGATGAGGCTGGATTGTTTCCTTCCTGAGATCAGGTGTGTCTTCCCCGGCCTTGCCATTGCTTTGTCTTTGATTTTAGCAGAAGCGTGGGAAAGAGAGATGGTTTTCCATGAGTGTCACCCCCTGGATCCCCAAGAGCGCAGGGTTGGTAGATAACAGCAGGGCCAGAGCTGGGGCGATAAATCCTCACGGAGCTCAAGCAGCTGAACTGTCTCCTGTTGCTTCTGGGTGTGTCCTGGAGCTGAGGGAGGCCGACTTCACGAGCTGGGCTCTCTGATATTCTCCGCCTGGCCCTGCGTGATTTGTGGCTTCTTTGTAGAATGTTCACTTCTGTGGTTCCTGACAGGTCCCTGTCACCGGCTCCGGCTCTGCCCTGAGCAGCTCTGAGTGCAGCTCTCAGGCCCAGGGGGGCAGGGCGTGAGCGGGGAGTGAAAAATGAGTGTGAGAGGGGTCAGCAAGCACTGATCTGGTCTCTCCTTTCAGCTGGGCTCGGCGCCCAAGCGGAGCCCTCAGCGCTCCATGGCCGCGCCTAACAGCACAACGTTCAGTCACCTCACCTTCGTCCTGGTCGGCATCCCGGGCCTGGAGCCCTGGCACCCCTGGATCTCCATCCCCTTCACGCTGATGTACACGGCGGCTGTTCTGGGGAACTGTGGTCTCCTCCTGCTCATCGCCACCCAGCGCAGGCTGCACGAGCCCATGTTCATTTTCCTCTCCATGCTGGCAGTGGCCGATTTAATATTATCTACGTCTACGGTGCCAAATGCATTGGCCATCTTCTGGTTTGGACCCAAGACTATTGCTTTCGGTTCCTGCCTCATCCAGGTGTTCTTTGTTCGCTTTGGATTTGCCACCGAGTCGGATATCCTACTGGCCATGGGGTTTGATCGGTACGTTGCAATCTGCAACCCCCTGAGGTACACGACTGTCCTCACCAATGAGATGATTGGGAAAATAGCCACGGCCATTGTCGTCAGAAGCTTTTGTTTAAGTGTCTGTGTTGTCTTTCTCCTCAAACGGCTGCCCTTCTGCGCAAGCAACGTCATCCCGCATTCCTATTGTGAGCACATTGGAGTGGCCAGGCTGGCCTGTGCAGACATAACCATCAATATCTGGTTTGGCTTTTCAAAGCTTCTCTTAACCATTGTAGTCGATGTTGTGTGCATCGCCGTGTCCTACGTGCTGATCCTCAGGGCTGTCTTCAAGCTGCCCACCAAAGACGCCCGGCACAAGGCTCTTGGCCCCTGCGGCTCCCACGTCTGTATCATCCTCTTATTTTACATCCCAGCCTTTTTCACTCTCCTAACCCACCATTTTGGCCAAAATATCCCTAAACACATTCACATCCAGCTGGCCAATCTCTATGTGCTCGTCGCCCCTGTACTAAACCCTGTTGTTTATGGGATGAAAACCAAGCAGCTGCGGGAACAAATGGTCTGCGTGGTGTCTCAGAAGTGGAAATGGTGCTGAGTCCAGAGCCATGCGATTTCCTGTCTGACTTCTTCCACATTGCAAGTAAAGGGTGAGAAATGGGCGTTAACATGTTAACTACATGTGTCAGAACAGACAGTTTCTGCTCCTGGGATGTTTTATTTTAAGTCCAGAGCCATGGTTTTCTGTGGCTTTGAGAACCATTTGTTGGTGACCTTGGATCCATTTTAATGACACCTCCCCAAAACAGGGAGTCTTCACTAGTCTGAGAGGAAGGTCAAAGGGGAGGTTAGCTGTTATGCTGCCCGCTTTATGCTAGACAGAGAGGCACTAAGATGCTAACAAGTAGCCAGTCCTGGCGGCTTCAGAGGAAATCCCAGAGAGGTGTACACAGTTCTCCTGTGCAAGGGAAAGTTTCCTCCTAAACCTCAATAGGGTTGCCTTATACCCAGAATCAGGAAAGTTTTAACCTTCGTTTCTGTACATTTGGATACTCTCATCTGTATTCATCGCCAATTTCTTTGTGTCCTGCTCACCTTATGGACATGAGTTCCAATGGCTAATTGTGTTGTGTAGGAAATTTTTTTAAAAAAAAAACCCAAACCCTCTCCAACCACCATGTTAAATTCCCTGCCTTTTGTTTCATTGGTTTCTTTCATGAACTTAAGTCCAACATTTTGGTTTTTCTCTCAACATTGATCCCCAAATTCCCCCGTGGAATCCTCTGCTGCTAATTGTTAGATCTCTAATGATTCTAACAGATTTGTATGAGTGATGACTAGTTATGATCAAACTCGTATGTACCTCCAGGATTGTAAGAGTTCTAGGATATGAAATTCTTCCACAGTGTCATCCCACTCCCTTTGCTCATAGAATTCTCTTTGCCTGATAATTTCTATACAGCAGTGAATTGCCACAAGTCTGATATAGCTGAGGCATACTTTATACTAGATAACTTTTTGAATGATCTCTCCCAAGAGTTTTGATTTACTGAATGTGACTGTCCTGTTTCTATACATGTCTCATTTCTGTGTCACATGTTAGGAATTTTGGCTATGCACCAGTAGTTCTGCTCTTCTCCTTTGGGTGACACCCGCCTCTAACAATTTCAAGAACCACAATGGAAAAGCCAGACAATGAGATACTACAGAGTCAGGTGACCTGGTCACCTGACACTATCATCCCTCTTGGATGGCTGAATATTTCTTAGGAGAAGTGGGGGCATCAGAAAAGGATTCTGGTTTTATGGAAATCCTATATAATGTGCGGATAGAAAACAATCAAGGTCTTTAGTTTGTCTCCTCTTCCTCCCCATCCAAAGAGATCATTGAAATCATCTGGAAAGAAAAGGACTGGAACTGAGGGCTGCAGGGAAGAACTGCTTGACCATGTGGTTAATTAGGCTAGGGCACGTGGGGGGGTTGTTAGCTCAGGTCTCATCTCACTAGTTAATTGTTTAGATCGAAACCTAACTTCCTCACCTGTACTGGTGAAAATAATAGACAGTGAGTCCTAAAGAGTCTCCAAAAATGTTAAAGAAGCAGGAAGTGGGATGGCAGGGGGCCATGAGAGCCAATGAAAACACAACATGGGCTTTGAACTGGAAGTTGGATCCCTTTCTGATCTTCTTGTATGGTAGGATAACAGCCCCCAGAAGAACCAGCAAGGAGCTGGGGAACCAGGCATGGAGAATCCTGTGACATCCATGCCTGGGAAATACTCACTTTCCAAAAACTACAGCTATGTGAGTAGAACAGGGAAAGTTTAGTTAGATGCGATTAGGTAAGTTTCTTTATTTTGGAGTTTCTTGGTCTTCTCTGGGTTGAGCACATGTACCCCCTTTCATTGTAAATTTCCAATTTGAACCCCCGGAAACCCCTGTGTTTTTAATCCCTTTTTCAGTTGCTCCGTAACACCAAGCAACCAAGCAATGTTCTATCATATGTGTTTTCTCTATTTTTCTTTTTCCTTCATCAGTAAAAAAAGTACTCTTTTCATAACATGATCTGATTGCTGTGTCCTAGAAGGCCGGAGATTCTGTGTGCACCTGCCAAAGACTGCACAGTCAAACTTCTCAGAGAAATGAAAGTTCCCTTTTCAGCTGATTGCAATGGCTGGGTTTTCAAGGCACTTACAGACAGAAGCTTAAAATAGCTTGATTGTCATTTACAGGAAGGATTTGCCAGGTGCACCTTCCACGGTTCTTTCAGGGGTTTTGCATTTGGATGACAGTGAAGATACTATTCAAAGGCCGGAGAATCTGTAATCTTGGGGTGGTAGGACACAAACCTTTAGTAGCAAAGTATTTTTAAAGTCTATTATGGACTCCCACCCTCTGCACACAAAGGGTATGTCTAGACTACAGGGTTTTGTCGACAAAAGTTGACTTTTGTCCACAAAACTATACCTGCGTCCACACTGCCTTTGAGTTATGTCGACATAACGTCGACAAACCTCAGCAGTTTTGTCGACGTATGTAAACCTCATTCTACGAGAAATAACGCCTTTTATCGACAGAGTTCTGTCGATAGAAGGCATTATTGCATCTACACTGTCCTTTGCGGCCACACTGTTATGTTGACAAAGTGGCTTACTTTGTCGACAGAACTGGATGTAGTCTAGACGCTCTTTGTCGACAGAAGCTTTGTCGACAGTATCTGTTGACAAAACTTCTGTCGACAAAACCCTGTAGTCTAGACGTACCCATAGAGCCATAGCGGGAAACAGCCCCGACCCCCAGCTTGAAAGACACCAGGCTTGTCAAGGAATCTACCAAAAACAATATCTCTGTTGAGGAATCAATGTTTGTAACCAGTTTCATTAACGAATCAAGCTTAGTTTGCATGCCTTCTTTTATTGCCTAGTAATCCACCTTGTTCTGTTTGCTACCTCTTTAGCCACTAAAAATGCATCTTTCTGTAACTAATAAATTTATTTCCAGTTAATACTTCCAGCCAATTTATGTCATTTCTAACTGGGGTAGCAGGAGCTTGTGCGTGGCTTCCTCCACATTGAGGGAGGGGCAAATTACTTATACTTTCGGCTCTGCGCTCCAAGAGAGTTGGGCACCTGGGCTCTGTGGCAGGTCCCTTTAGCTGAGTCGTCACCAAGCTGATCTCTGTGTCTGTCTCAATCCGTAGTTGGGTGCGGCCCTACCAGTGTGTTGCTGGAGGAGCCTTCAGAACTAAAGGGTGCCCAGGCTGACAGAAAAGGTGGCTCAGTGGTATCTCAGTACATTACCTGATATCCTGATGGGGTCCAACCCATCACACTCTCAGCTGTGTTCCTGGGGCCATCTAGAGGTCTTTGCCCTAAACTCCATAGGCCAGATAAGTTCCCTCAAGTTCTGCTGTGTGAGGATGGGTTTGCTGGGAACAAAATGAAAATAGTATTTATAAAACTGAGGTAGGAAGGAGATTCCGGGCTACAGGAATCTTCTGCCTCTATGGGCGATTAGAGTCATGGGAGGCATTGGCAGCTACGGAGTACGAGTGAGTGGTTTCTTCCCCTCCCTACCTCTGGCTATGTGGCTGAACTCCAAACAGTACTACTGGGGTGTGAAAGGGTTATATAAGGAGTCTGGGTAGTGGCGACCATGTTAATGGGGCAGAGCCCTGGCAGACACCACTTCTATTCATTGGCAGAATTGTTTTTGTTCCTAACATGCAACTGCACCCAAGAATGTAACCTTTCAATGAATGGCCTGGTGTTAGCAGTGCTATCTCCCTCACCCCCTTATCCACTGTGAATTATACAGTCAGGCTACGTCTAGACTGGCATGATTTTCCGGAAATGCTTTTAACGGAAAAGTTTTCCATTAAAAGCATTTTCTGAACAGAGCGTCTAGATTGGCAGGACGCTTTACCGCAAAAGCACTTTTTGCAGAAAAGCATCCGTGGCCAATCTAGACGCGCAAAAAAGTCCCAATCGCCATTTTCGCGATCAGGGCTTTTTTGCAGAAAACAAATCTGGGCTGTCTACACTGGCCCTTTTGCGCAAAAGTTTTGCACAAAAGGACTTTTGCCCGAATGGGAGCAGCATAGTATTTCCGCAAGAACACTGACAAACTTACATGAGATCATCAGTCCTTTTGCAGAAATTCAAGAGGCCAGTGGAGACAGCTGGCAAGTTTTTCCGGAAAAGCGGCTGATTTTCCAGAAAAACTGGCCAGTCAACTCCTGTACCCCTGGTACGCTGCTGATGTCAGGAGTGTTGTGATGTGAGACCTGCCAACATCCGCTAAAAAGCTGTGAACAGTAAATTGCGGCGGGTGTCATTTTCTTCAGCACATGGTTCTGATTTGCATGATCTAAATAATTTGCATGATCTAAAACTCATCACAGCACACGTGTCCATCACAGCAGTTGTGGGGGGAGGAGCGGCTGGACTGGCTGTTGCCCGGCGGGGGAGCAGACCCGGTCCATTTAGTTGCTTGGCTGATTTTTTCTGGGAAGCCAGGACCAGTCTGGGGAGGGGAGAGAAACACCTGGTGGGGGAGGAGGCAAGGCCGGCCAGCCCCACCCCTCACTCGTGGCACAGATCCCTGCTGGCAGTGACCGATCGGGCCCCTCCCCCAATGCTGACACTGGGACAGCCCAGGGAAGGGCAGCCCGAGGGAAATGTAGGCAGCACTGCGGGGGAGAGGAGGCATTTTCTTGAGGGCCTAGATTGCCCGGGACTCCTCTCTGGTGCCTTCCCTCTGCCTCTCTGGCTCCTCCCCTTCCCTGCTCCATCCCGATCTATATGGAAAACTCTTCAGTTTTATCAATCACAAAATGAGGCTGCAACTTCCCATCCCAAGGGACTTTCCTTCAGACTAAGGAGATCACAAGGGGGACATAGGAGCAACCGCACTGGGTCAGACCAAAAGTGAGCCTAGCCCAGTGTCCTGTCTTCTGATGGGTGCCGGTGCCTCATGGTACAGAGGGAATGAACAGATCAGGGGATCATCAAGAGATCTGTCCCCTGTGGTCTAGGCCCAGCTTGTCACAATGAGACACTCAGAGCATCTTACAAATCGCTAATAGCCATTGATGTCC